ATTAATTGTTGAGCCTCCAGGCGGGGCCTTTCCCAGCGCTGGCAGTGGAAAAATGTATGTTCCACGTCATCGAGAATGCCTGGGCAGTATATGCAGTCGGGTGACACGGCTTTGCCCATCCTGAACAGGTACGACTGGAAAAAGCCGTGTCCCGTCAGAAATTGGGTGAGGTAGAAGTCCACCTCTCCGTACCGCCGATCAACCCAAGGTTGGACTTGCTGTATCAGTCGCCTGGTCCAGAGTCCCCGTGTCTCCTGTTCCCAGCCCTCCTGCCACAGCTGGTAGGTGCGGGTGCGTTCCTCTGTTCGTGCCTCGTCCTCCCCACGGCGCCGGTAAATTGCCTTTCTCTCCGCCGCCAAAAGTTTGACGGGGATGACTCCAGCAATCACCAGGACGGCGGGCTCGGACACTGTTCGGTAGGCAGATGCTACCCTCAGTGCTGCCTGACGCTGCACTCGGGCGAGCCGCATCCTGTATGCCTCCTTATTTAGTGCGTCTGCCCACACCTCCGCACCGTACAAGAGTACGGACTGGACCGAAGACATTAACAGCCTTCTACGACTGGACCGAGGCCCTCCGACATTGGCCATCAACCGGCTAAGAGAAGAAACCACCCTAGCGGCCTTGTCCGCTGTACGGAAAATCTGATCCCGCCAGCTAAGCTTGCTGTCTACCATGACCCCAAGATACTTGGCAGAACGAACAGTTTTGAACCTCGACGGCTCCCACCCTCAACGGCACGATGGTGTCAATCCGTTTTTTTGTCAAAATCACGATCTCGAGAGCAAGCGAGAGACCGTGGTCTGCCATCCATGCGTTTATGGTACGCATAACTCGGTTTAGCTTTAGCTGAGAGAGCTCAACGCTACGTGCAGCTATCAAAGCTGCAACGTCGTCTGCGTAGCAACCGTCAATGCTGTTACTCCAAATGAAAACACTTTATTAGTTTCCTTGTAGCAGCATACCTAGGTACTCGTTAAACATAATGTTATATACATTTAATTGACAATAAATTCAGACAAAAGGAAAATCGCTTAGTCGGCAGGTTTGCTGTGGTTGGGGTATTTCTTATGTTTCCATCTGCATAATTGTTTTTATTAACATTAAAAGACAAAGATATTAGTAATTTCAACAAATCATTTGTTGTTTCTCGCTTTATTTTCCTAGTTTCATTTGTACTTCGATCAAGCTTTTGGGAAGGGGTATCTGCTCTGGAATTAAACCATAATAACTGAACGTTTTAAGGTTATCTGTTACTGATCAATGCTTTATTTAAGTACATAGTATACATTGAAAATGTTATTGTGTACTATTTTAATGTATCCAAACATTTTTGGAAAAATAAATTTTGTTCATACAGGAGGATTTTTAGTACCGGTACGTTGTTTAGGTCAGTACACTATAGTATATCTTTTAAACATGACATATAAAAATGCATAAATAATCTTTAAATGTTTTTAAAGCTAGCCAGGTCTAGCTGTCTTATAGTTATCTGTGGCACCACTCAAACTCCACAACTCTAGAGACAAACCCACGTAGTCCAACAACAATTTACTTGAGTTACCTCTTAACTCTCTATCCAATCTAACTTTAAGTGCTCTGTCTTTGTGCGACGTAAATTTTGTTTCTGGTTGGTTACAGCTCTTCGTAGATCAAGCTGAATCACCATTACCATTGTACATGAATATGACCTTATAAAACTTAAATTAAACAAATCTGTGTAGAATGTAAAATATATGACTGTTTTACATCTGAGATCGTAGGTAGAATTAAATAAAAATATATTCCTTTCAAGATTGAATTTTGTTATCATGAACCATGTAAAAAGGTACACCTTTTTTAAAGTTAACTATATATTATATATGTATACATACTATAGTTAACTTCATTACATAGTCGATTAAATGCAAGTTTTAGTATAAGTGAAGGTTCAAAAAAAGGTTACAATACCTTCACACTGCCAATAGTGGTCCTTGATCATCCAACAGGATTATGCGTTTCGGTATGACTACCATCTTCAGGTCCTTTATTTACAAAAAATTAATTTTACGACACATAATGCTACGTTACGGTATTTGAACACAGTCACAAAACATTGGTTTATGAACAAACTATATACAGTGGGCTTACGAATTGAAAGCGAGAGATTCAATGTTTTGTGACTGTCTTTAAAACCCGTGACGTGGCATTATGTGTCGAAAAATTCAAGTTTTGTAAATAAAGGATCTGATGATGGTAAATACCGAAACGTGCCATCCTGTTGGGTGTTCAAGGACCACTTTAGGCAGTCTGCAGGTACTGTAACCTTTTTTATTTTGATTTGCATAAAGTGGCCTAGGAAGAAACACAACTACATCATATAGTAAGGGTTGCTTTTACTCTACTTTACTTTACTAACCCTCAAGTTTGTTGAATATTCCACAAAACCCTTTTAACTTAATGAAAAATCCACTATAGCAAAAACTACATAATATCAAATAGTCTTTTTCCATGGGAAGGTCCAATAGAAATATATTTTGTCTGTGTATCCGAGTGAAGTGCTCGCCTTCCAACCAGAATTTTGCTGGTTTGATTCCAATATATAACAATTCTAGAACCAGGTCAGGTGTGGTTTTTAAAGATCTATCAAATAATTCCATCTAATAAGGTGTTAACGTCAGGTAATATCAAACAACCGTTCTCTTACAAAAATAATAAATGTGTTAGAAAACAAACTACACAAAATAATTGCAACATTTCAACCATGGAAATTTCCACATTGGTCGGTATGATGACAGAGGTTGGTGAAAGCACAATTTCCAGCGCGTTGCACAGGCATTAGCCGAGCCGTTAAACATGCACTGTTGTAGCACAAAGAGAATTGAGAAGCTATTTATAGCCTCACAGGATTGGTGATTAAAAATTAACCATTTGTGAACCAATTAGCTGTTCTTAGTGTTGCAGAAAAAAACGCCCCTAAATCTAAACGCACTGAAATCCAACACAATCATTTAATGTTCTTGAATCTCTCCTTTTTTGTAGATGTCCTTCCCAATGACACTTTAAAACAAAATAGTAAGGCATATTTCGGTTTAATTTTTTTTCAGTCAATAAAGGTATAAATCTCAGAGTAATTAGTAAACAACAGAATGAATTATTAGATTTTGTTAGTAAAACATTAGAGTATTTTAATTACCTATCCTCAACTTCAAATTAATCATAATTCAAAAAGTTCATCATACTGGGGTTGGTTTAGCAAAATAAATAAACCTTTGATTAAATAATAATGGACATCTGAGGGAACTATTGTTTGTTTATATAAAATGCGTGTTGCATGAGGTTGGACTACTTAGATTATGACATTTGGGAACACATATGCAAGAGTAATATAAGAATCCTCAAGTAACCTAAGAGTTGTTTGTTCAAGGTTACGTTTTAGAAAATTATATAACAAACAAACAATAATGTTAACAAACAATTTGATTATGAATGATTTTTAAACACCCCACCAAGTACACATGCAAAAATGTCCAACTGAAAAGCATGATTTTTATCAAGTTTTTTAAATTCACACGTGAATCCTCAAGTTATTCTCAAGTATCCTCAAGTTTTCTGAGATTTTCGAATATCCTGAAATATATTTTGTTAAGTTTTTATTACGATAGTTCTATACACAATTGTTGTGTTTAAAAAAAATCTTTATAAATTAATTAGCTAAAAGGCAAACCCAAAAGTAGACACAGAGTTCTATAATGTTTGAGTGTCCTATTTTGTCTCTCAAAATATTAAATACCCTTCTTTGAGGTCCGGCTTCTTTGGCATTGTTTGTAAACACGCAATAATGGCTTGGCAGTAAGCTGAGTTTGACTTGGTTAAACTTGGCTCTTGTTTTTTATGACAAACAGGATAGATTTTTTTAATTTGACCACAAAACAAATTGTAATATTTTTTTAGAAGGTAAAAAATATCAATTTATGCTGCAATCGACAAGCTATTTAATAAAACAACTTTTTGGAGAATTTACTGTCCAAAGTTGTTCAAAATCCACCAAAGAAATTTAAATAGTGAGGAAGGTTAAAATATGACCAATCATTCTACATGTTTACAATGCGCTAAGTAGTTGTTTTTAAAATAGTTTAACACAACTTTATATGTTCGAAATACTATATAAAAAAGCTACAAAAATAACCCATAAAAATATGTGATGACTTTTAGCTTTAGCTATTAATATTTAAAAGTTATCTAGCTGAGGGTTGCATTGAACATTGCAATATTATAATAGGTAGCTTAGTTTTGGTGACCTGTTGTTTAGAAACGATGACGCAGTTTGCCTTTATCTAACCATTCACATGTTAGAAACCCGAAAACGCCTAACTAAAACAATATTGATTGCCAAGTATATAAACTTTCAAAATACATCTACCTACCACCTGCCTACCAACTATCTTTCTATAACATCTATTTAGGGAAAAACTTCTTTACTACGCAGCTAGTACAATTAGTGTTAAATACGTGGATATTTCTTATCTGTATATTTCTTTTTCATTCGGTTAAATATTAATAATTATTATAATTTATTATTTTGTTAGTTTTTAATGCACGCCGTTGGATGAATTATGCTTTTTATACACCGGAATTTACTGGTAAGGTAATTTTAGTTAATTATAATCCAGTGTCGTCTGTACCGTAATAATACAAATTAAACTAGTTTATATAATTTTACTATACTTCGTGTTTTATCTTTTAACTTTCTCCTTTACTTGCAGAATAATGCTGCTTTTAAAATGCGATATGCCACTAAACAAAGAAAAGTAATTTAAAATTTCATGTACAGCCTATGACATTATCTTTCTTCAGTTAATTTTACAAATTAATATTTTACGGACAATATATAACAATAAATTTAAAACTCTACAACATAAAAAGCCAAAAGTCTTTGGATTAGATTTGTCAGATATGTTAATTTAAATAATTTTTGTTCAATGTAGTAAGTTAAAAATTATTATTCCTTGTTTCCTTACCGTGTGTTGGGGACGTGAACATTCACCGCGCTAAGGTTGGCAGTATCGACGCGATCACGCACACTACTGACTGGCACACTCGGGCAAGCAATGCTACCAACCTACAACCCCTCAGTGGTGCCACCACCACGCCACCTAATGTGCTCAATGCACTGTATCACGTCACCGCGCTAAGGTTGGCAGTATCGACGCGATCACGCACACTACTGACTGGCACACTCGGGCAAGCAGTGCTGCCAACCTACAACCCCTCAGTGGTGCCACCACCACGCCACCTAATGTGCTCAATGCACTGTATCACGTCACCGCGCTAAGGTTGGCAGTATCGACGCGATCACGCACACTACTGACTGGCACACTCGGGCAAGCAGTGCTACCAACATACAACCCCTCAGTGGTGCCACCACCACGCCACCTAATGTGCTCAATGCACTGTATCACGCTAGCTATGTGATTAATTAACCCTGTTATCTCCCAGCAGCACGTCACATGATGCAGCAGGTAATGGACGAATTGATTACATCTTAATACACGCTGATTTTCATATAAGTTTGCAGTTTAGTTTGAGAGTAGTTTGATCTGCTCTGTTCAATACGAAATTACTATTACCTTATTACCGTATTACCTTATACCTTATTACTATTAACTTATGATTAAAATTGAAGTTAAAGTTTAAGTGGTATAAAATAGGGTTATATTACTTATAAGTCTCCTTTACATTAAACTGATTATAGTTTTAGTGGTTATTGTTTTTACTTTCGCCCCCTATACATAGTATATGGAGAAAGTATTGTTTTCGTCAAAATTTTCGAGTTTGAGTTTTGAGTGTATATATTCATTTTGGGTCCTCCTGCACACAAAAATTGGTTTTTGAAGTGATGTCTGTGTGTGTGGATGTGTACAGGTACAGAGCTACAGCAACACCTGTAGTTTTATTTTGATGAAATGTGGTATTTAGTTACACATCCATGTATCTCCAGGGTTTTTCAATTTTTTTTAATTTTAATTTTTAATGGGGATTTTTCCATAAAACCCATAAAAAATGGAAAAATCAGATTTGCTCGAAAATGGCCCAAACGGTATTGAAAAAAATTAGTATGTTGTATCCCTTAAAATTTTGAACAAAACGGTAGGACCTTGGATCAATCTGTTAGTATTCCTGTAAAGAATATATGTTTCAAAAGTTATTGTAAATTAAGTAATGTCCCCATTAAAAAACAAACATTTTAGGTAAAAAGCCTGTTATGATAAAACTAATTTGTTATGGTCCTTGTAATTTTAAACAAAATAGTGCAATCTCTCATGTCTGTAACAATTACGGTTTTGAAGTTATTGCTAATTTTCTGATTTTTGAATTTACCTAAAATATCATAGTTACTCCTATAGCTTACCTATGATAATGGTTGTTGACAAGCTAATGAGAGAAAGTATGTATCAGATTGCTGATGCCGTTGATTTTTTATTCATATAAAACTGACAGATATATAATATATATATATATATATATATATATATATATATATATATATATTGTAAGAAAGGGGATTAACCCCGTACCCACGGTGCTCATCTATGCAGACACTCTGTTCACATTACACTTAGTCGACCAGTTGGTGTGAACAGAGTTGAACAGTAGCATGAGCATCGATTTACAAATTCCTTTCCCAGCTGATGTGAGCTAGGCGATGACCGGTAGGGCTGACTTCCAAGAAACACCGTTAACCTATTAGCCACACACCCTATCGGTAATCAGCCAATGAGAAGGGCTAATGATGAAGATGGAGGGGTCAAGACTCTTGGAGCTGGAGGATCTGAAGGAAAACATCGAGGAGATCACCACGGGCCACCGGAGAAAGAAGATCGGGAGTTTGGGAGTGCGTGTATCGGTGTGTGTGCTTCTGGGACAATAGACAGTATGTAGAAAGAATAAAATATCTAACTAACACTTTGTCAAACATAAAAGTCATATAATTTGTCAGTAACTAATTCTTTTATATTTTCAATTGATTTTCTTTTCTTGTAAATTTAACGTTGCAAATTAATTTATCTTATTATTGTTGTTTTTTGCATTTTCAAAGTTTTCTTTTGCTGTTGTAACACTTTTAACTTTTGTTGTTTTCGTAATTTAAATTTTTGTTCATTACACGTTGAGTAACACCCTTAAGCAGTCTTATGTCTCATTAACCTAACACCTCTTCACTAAGCTAAGCGAGTGTAACATTTAGGAAACTTAAACTTAAAGTGAGGCATGGGACTCGCATGGTGGAGGCAGCCGCACGGCGAAGGCTGTCTTTGCATTTTAACTAAACAATAACGATCCTACATTTATTTTAATAAACTATCTTGAAACAAATTATATGACTTGTGAACTATTTTAGTTTATTTATAGTCAATTATAGTCACTTAAGTTAATATCAGACTCACGAATCGTAAATTGTATAGGGTGTTAGTTTAAGATAAAACTTAAAGATTATGAACAAAACAATATAGGCCACTAACTCAAATAAAAACACTTATCTTAGCTAGGCCCATAACCTTTATAAAACCACCAAATGTAACAATAGCTTATGTAGGTTTGTCACATTACTAAAACTTAAAAGATAATTTATGGATTTAGATTTTGAAATTGTTAACATTGACATATATAGCTTAAACAAAACTGAGGCTTTACAACTAGCTTGTCAATATAAAATACAACTCCCACCCATCCCTGAAACCAAAACCCTAGCCAACCTAAGAACAAAATTAGCTTTCACCAAAGATGTTTTCAAGACTGCATTTAGACATCCAAGTTTTGCTGAGGCATTAACAGACTTGTTCTTTAACAACAAACTAGAAGACAAAACATAATTTATTTTTGTAAAAAATACAACCGACTTCAAAACGCTCTAAAAAGAATGAAATAATTTTAATAAAGTAAACTTTTGTATTAGGCAAGCTCACGTATTTTAAGTCGGCGCGGCTCTATGATGATTTTTGATACAAAATTGAAAGAGGGTGTCCATATTGCAGGTGACTATCTATAACTAAAGTTGTTAATCTGCATGTATTTTTCATTTTGAGCAGCGCCAACTTGAAATACGTGAGCTTGCCTAATACAAAAGTTTACTTTATTAAAATTATTTCATTCTTTTTAGAGCGTTTTGAAGTCGGTTGTATTTTTTACAAAAATAAATTATTTCATGATTTTTAGTGACTGTATAATTTCTTATATATCAATTACTTGAGGTTAAGCAAAACTGTTTGAAACAATCAAAAGTTCCACAGAACAATCATTATTTTAAAACTGCTTGAGTCACCTGTTCAGGTTACATAATCAATGGGTATGAAAATAAACATTTTTAGATATTCCTTAAGAAAGAAAGAGTTGTCCATTACATTAGGCCTAATGAAAAACTAATTGTCTTTTCTAGATACATTGAAATGTCAGACATCATCGTTTCCTGCAATCGGTGTACTTCTACATTATAAAAAGAAATACAGTAACGTCTCAAGCCTTTTGGAACAATATGAAAGTTATTCCTCAGCCACCAGCACTAAAAAATCTCTCAAAAGTGGAAAATTGGTCGTTAACACGTATAGTACCTTTGGAAAATATTATATGAAAGATTGGTTCAGCTAAAAGTGGTGTAAGTCATGTAGGGGGGTTTTGTTTGCTCAAGATGTAGCCTAGTCGAAATTGCAAATCATCTTCCTCTAGGACTTTCCGAAGCAGGCATAATAGTATTGATATGTTATAGTAACTGGGTAGAGAATATTAATACACATTCCACATCTGCAAATGAAATATGTACTGTATAAGAAATGGTACAGCTAAAAGTGGTGCAAGCCATGTAGGTGGTTTTGTTTGATCAAGATATAGCCTAGTCGAAATTGCAAATCGTCTTCCTCTATGGCTTTCCGAAGCAGGCATAATAGTATTGATGTGATATAGTAACTGGGTAGAGAATATCAATAAACATTCCACATCTGCAAATGCATGTTTAGTAATTAAAATATTTAACAATTTTTTAAGACAATTGACGACTGTCACACTTCTTAGGTCGTGTAAGGAACGGTAAGGAATAATTGCATTTAATTTATATTTAGACCTGTTTTACGAATGCTTTGGTTTTCACAATACACCTTTATTTGTCAATATCATACAGCTATTCACTGAAACATATATGTTTTTGTAAGTCAGAATATTCAATACTAAAAACAGAATTACTGTATACACAAATCAGGTCAAACGTTAAAATATATTTTTTATAGTAACCAAAACAAAATGCATTTTTCTCAATGTAATTCATTTAGGCTCCATGGCAAAAAATAGTTTATTGATCAATATGAAGCAACTGTTTCATGAAGAATTGTCTGTAGCTTAATTTAAATGGTTTCAACTAACAGCTGTAGGAATGTTATTATTATTTATTGCCTTCTCTGCACAAATGTAAACAATCTGCACAAATGTAAACAAAATCAATGTTGAATATTTAAGGTTTTCAGAATTTTTCACCGAAACAAATATTATACTTAAACATGATATATAAGGTACCAAATAGAAACTCTCCTGGTTATTTTGGTGGTGGAACCACACTGATCGGTAAAAGAATCACAGAGAAATTGGTGAACATACATAGAAAAAAAAAAACATCGCCACAAACAAATTGAGAACCTCCTCCTTTTGTTGGTAGTGGGGAAGTCGGTTAAAAAGAACAGTTTAGAGATTTGCTAAAATTCAAGAAAATCCTTCAAGAACCAACATATGATACTATAAACACTTCTGACGACCTAACACAACCTAAACCTGAACATTCACAAAACCTTTATGAAAACAGGTCAATAATAGAACACGAACAATTGTTACATAGCTTTAATTCGTTAAACTTAAATCAAGAAACCCATCAAAATCACAACCAACCAGAAACCCCTAACACATCAACACAAATAGCATCTCACCCTAAATCATATATAACCAACAAAAACATGGCTGATGAGTCAAAAGAGAAACTTCCCCTAATAAAAGCAGGCACATACTCAGGTCTTCCTTCAGAAGATGTACATGAATTTATTCAAAAATTCAATATTGCATCAAGGTGCAACCATTGGTCCGAAAAAACTAAAATTGAACTT